CTCTGAAATGTTGCAAACTCACACAAACAGCTTCTTTCTCATGGCTTTACAGGCCCTGCAGTTGCATGCAGGGGAGAGGCCACACTTGACAGATGGAATGCAGCCTTAGGGTCACTGCTGCCCACAGCTAGGGCCCTGTGGATGCGCTGGCTCCACCAAAGGAGGACCTTGGAAAGGACCTTCCTCCTGGATCACCTGGTCATGGCATCAGAGGACCAGCTGGTGGATGCTTGGGCCTGGCGGGTGGAGAATGTGGCCTGCCAGGACAGGTGGCGGGTGGAGGGCATTGCTTACAAGGAGGTGTGGGACCACTGTGACGAGGTACAGGACTGGTTCAAGGAGGAACTGGCCTGGGTAGACAGGGAGTTCTAGGCACAGCTTCTGACCCTGGAGATGCTGTGGGAACAGAACGGTATCCTGGCCTGGGCAGTGCAGGCCAGGCCATGGATGATGAGCACCAGGTGCTGGATACTGTTTTGGCCCTGGCAGTTGCCTTTATGCTGCCCACTGCCCCGTCCATGACCCTAGCCTCATTTGCCTCCTGGAAGCAACCCACCACCCAGCAGCAGGCCCCCACCTGGTCCTAGGAAGAGGTCCTGCACTGCCTCCAGCATCTAGAAGCCCCTGCCCTAGACCCCATCCCTAGTCTGGCATCACCTGGCCCCTCCACCTGGCCCCAGCCCTGCATAGTCCACAATGAGGGGTAGCCATGGCATTCAACTGCAGGTTCAGCACCCTGGGCATAAAGAACCCACTCTCCACTAGACCTGGCAGGCCAGAGTTCCTGAAGTTGTGGGCTTTGTGGGTGCTGCCCATCTAGCTGGCTCTCCCATGCATGAAGGCCCCACAGTAGTCCATGATAGCTTGGAGAACCATGGAGTGAAAGCTTCTCTTGTTCTTGGCTCTCCACTTTCCTTACCTGCCATGCCTTTGAAGTTGTTTTGAATGGAAAGAGTTGAGAAACTGCCCCAAAGTCCCAGGGAAAAACTGGTCTTGCCCTTCTAGATCTATCAGTGGCTTTGGTAACCAATGGCACCTATACATGTGATGGACCTTTGCTCCAATGCACACTAATTAGCATGCTTTGGAAAAGACTCAATTAATTAAGTGCTGCGAATCTGTTGGAGCATGCTAATTAGTGTACTCCAGCAGCCTCCATGTCACGTGTATTCAGCCTTCCTGTGTTTCAAAATGGCAGCAGGGGAGTGTTAACTAAAGCTTGTCAAACGAGCTTTAGTGAAAGCACCCTGGCTGCCATTTTGAAGTACAGGACACTGAACACGTGTGATGCTGCAGCGCTTCATTAGAGCAGCTCTCAGAGCACATGTATAGATGCCAGAGCACATGTATAGACACGACAAGTGCCTTAAAGGCTACATCTGTAGCCTCTGACCACCTGTACAGCCATGTCCATGCCTTGCAGTTGTTACCAATTGCTTATTTTAGTGGGCCCTCAGCCTTCAGTCCAACAGTGCCCCTCTGTCCTAGTTGATGTCCAGCCCTGCTTGTGCCTCTCTTGCTTTGGTTCCATCTCTCTCAGGTTCTGGTCTGACCCCTCACAGCTTTGCCTTTGCTCCTCTAGAGATCTGGGTCCACCCCTTAAGTCTTTGGTCTTGCCCTTCTAGGTCTTTGAATTCAAACCTCAAGGGCTATGATTTTGGTCCTCCAGGCTCTTGGTTCACCTTTCACAGGTTATCGTTTCATCCCCCTATGGCTCTGAGACTGCACCTCCAGGGCTCTGATCTCACCCCTTTTGGGCTCTGGGTTCACCCTCCAAGAGCCCTGGTTCACCCCCTACAGCACTTGGAATAACCACATGCCTATTTGGCACCACTGGGTCCTCCACCTCCCTTCTCAGTCCTAAACTCAGTTCCTGGTGTAAACTATATATATATATATATATATATATATATATATATGTATATATATATATAAGATAAGCCCTGAGCTTATAACAAAAACTGTAAGCACTCTGGCTGTAAAACAAAGCAGAGCTCTTTTCAAGCCTTCATTTCCTTACTTGTAGTCCTCATGTCAGGCAGTTCCCAGTCAGTCATTCAGCCCCAGTCCTCTCAGTGCAGAGATTCTTCCTTGGCACCATTCTGGACCAGGCTGCCTCCCTAGCTCCAGTCCTGGGCTAATATGTTGCCTAAGTCCTGTCTCTTTTGGTCATGTGTCTTCTCAACTGCCCATAGGTTTTTCTACTTAGGCCAGCTGCCCTCCAGAACAGTTTACAGTTGTTAGGTTAGGACCTAATGCCATGCCTCAGCTATGCCAGCCTGGCTATGCCCCATGCTACTACTGCCAGGCAGCTAGCTCTGTACAAGTCACTTCACAGCCCAAACCAGGTCAGCCCTAATGTACTACTGCAGAGCAGCTCACTCTGCAATAGACACTCACAGCCTCCAAGACCCTGGGAGCCTTGTCTCCTGTAGTCCATAACCAGCTGTTTAGCCCACTTGGAGATCTCTCTACTGCTGATTCTCCCTTAAAATAACAGGGAGTGTCTGCCTCCCTGCTACAGTCAGCAAACAGGGAAACAGTTGGAAGGTAGTCTTATGTGTGACAACAGGTGATGTGAAGCACTTGAATTTTCAGTTAATTTAATCAAAGCAGAGTAATTGTGAAACCATATTAAAGAAATTCAGGATTTCTGTACAGGTTTTCCTTGCTTTATGCAGGTTCTATATGTGCGAATTCACTCTTATGTGGTAAACTTTTATACCAAAAATTCATTATATGCAAGGTAAATTCACTCTTATGCGATCAGTGTGGTGGAAGCGCGTAGTCACCTGCTTTGTGCAGTGTACTATAGGAGTGACACCCACCAAAATATAGTCTTCTGTGTGGATCTGTGCTCCTTGCTCGTTGTTTGTGACGTGTTTCTTTAGTTACCATCCCCGTTATGGCTTCTAAGCATCCTGCTAACTTATCTCCTATCCCTCTCTGCTGTTGGTGATTACCTAAATTGTCTTGTAAAAGTGGTAGAAATGGGTCTGGGGGTCAGTACAGTCGAGGTCTTGGAACAGATCCCTATTTGTTACATTTTAAAGTGGGTTCCCTTTATGAAAATTTGAGTTATGTGCTGTTTTCCAGGAACCCGTATACAGCATAAAGCAAGGGAAACCTGTACTTGGTATAAAAGTGAAGCCTACAAGAGATTTTTTTAAAAATAGTGAGTTCAAAAAGAAAGTGAAATTGTGTAAGAGTTTGAAACTGAACTAAGGCTGGGGAATCCATCTTTGCAGTTTCAGTGAGTGAACTGAAATTGCAAGACGAGATTGTGATTGATAGCCAACAAAAAGCTTGGGAGATCAGATTTAAATGTTGACAAAGCCATTAGAATTTAACACAAGTCACCTGGCCCAGAATGTAGTCTATGCAGGGTAAAAAGTAGTGCTCTTCCATTGTAGATTTGATTTGAGATTCCAGGACAGTACAAGTGGCAGGTGGAGGGGAGAAACACAGCTGACCACTCACCTCAGGTGTAGGCAGTGATTGGCAGGCCTGGGGCAAAAGGAGAGGGTTCAGTGACCCAGGCAGAATCTCAAAAGCCCAGGGCTTGGCCCGGAAGGAGCAGTCTGGCTGTAGGAGCTACAAGAGGCAGAGCTCCAGGGAGCCAGTCTGGACTGCCTAGGGGTATGCCCAGGGGAGCCTAGTTTGGACTGCCACAATAGGGTGAAAGAGACCATGCACTGCAAGCAACGTAAGTGTCTTGAATATCTTGTGTTGGTGCTACCACAGGGTGAGATTAAACTCAACTGGGAAGTTTGTATTTGTGAATCTTATGTTTGGGGAGCGGATGCTCATCCTTTTGATTTATGTTTGAACCAGAGGACCAGGGTGGCTGTAAGGGGCAGATTGGAGACCAGAGGGGTGCAGCAGGGGCATCCAACTCAGAGCACCCTTGGGGCCTGGAACCTGGTGGTGTTGAGTATGGGCAGGAGTCCAAATATGTTCAGAGAGAAGACTGTGGCATGTCAGAGGATGGGATATCTGACAGCAAAGCCTGGAGAGCATAACTCCTGTGCTCACAAAGGGTGTCTCGAGGCTGATTGGCTTAGAGCCTGTGAGGGGCTAGAGCTGGAGCCCAAGAACCTTGGGTCCTGGTGTGGTGTCTCAGTGTCACGGACTGGGGCCTAGGAGCAGCCGTGATCCCACTAGCGCCCCCTACCGTGCCAAGTGAGTGATCTAGCACCCTCTACTCTCTCCTGCCACGTCTTGTTGGAATAATAGTTTGATATGGGAGGCTGCCTTACGATCCCCTTGGTCACAGTGTTCTGCTCATACTGCCCCCCCGTACCAGATGGGGTGACTTGGTGCAACCCCGGCCTTATGGGCTATGTGTGCCTCCTACCTCCCCTTTAGCATGCCCCAAGCCTGGCAGCTGTTCCGAACGTTCTCGTGTCTCCAATATACACGCCCTCACCGGGGCCTCTCCGATATACACGCCCTCGCTTGCTCTAGCGCCCCTGTGTTCATTAGCCCTCGCCCCTCTCTGGGGCCTACTCATGGGTTCGCCCTTCTTCGGGTCCTATTGTACATGTCGGCCCGCCTTGGGCCTCCACCCGCGCGCTCGCCCTACTCCAGGCCTTTACCCGTGCACCCCACCCTCTCCGGGCTCCTGCTCACGCGCTTTTACTCATCTGTTCGCCCTTCTTCGGGCTCTGCTCGCACGTGCTGGCCCGCCTCGGGCCTTCCCCCGCGCGCTCGCCCTACTCCGGACTTTTCATCGTGCTTCCCACGCTCTCGCCCTCTCTGGGGCCTATGTCCCGCGCTCCTCGTGCCCTCACCCTGCTCTGGGGCTTGTCCTGCGCTCCTCACGCCCTCGCCCTTCTCTGGGGCTTGTCCCGCGCTTCTCGCGCTACGCCCCCTCTGGGGCCTGTCCCGTGCCAAACCGCACTCGGGGCTCAGGTGGCACGCAGCCGTGCCTGGCCCTCCTGACCCTTCTCGGGGTCTTTCGCCCAACGGGGCAAAGTACTGCCCTCAGGCTGGGGTCTCAACCCCCACACACCGCACCACACCGGTGCCCAACCAGCCGTGCCTCCCCGGCACTGCTCTGTGCCCGAACAGGGCACCCAGGAAACCCCCAGCCTACTGGGGAGCTCCCGTGAGGCCTCCTCACACCCCTACAGCCTCACCCGGTCCTCCGGTTATATACACAATGAACTAAACAGAACCATAAGCCAAACGGCTGTAACAGAACACAAAACCCCTTGGCTACAACTTAAGTTCCCCGCCAACCTGGCTAGTCTCCATATCCCTGCCGGGTTTCTCTCCACCCGGCATCCACATGCTTAACGCACCGCACAGCCCTGCCTACTCTTGCAGAGCTGCTTCTCCTTAGACTGCCAGGAGGGAACTCCCTGCTAGGCTGCGGCCTGGCCTGCTTATAAAGGCCAGGCTCTGCCCCTTTCTGGCCATGTGACCTGCTCCGGTTGCCCCGGCAACCAGCACCTGAGCTGCCCTGGCCATTAGCAGATGCCCTAATTCCTACTTAGGAACGGGGCACCTGAGTGCCCCCGTGACATACCTTCCCCCTTAAGTTCAGGACTCACCAGGGCTGATCTTCCCTTTCGCAAGTTGTAATATCCATCCAGGGGTCTTCTCCTGATTTTCCTCAGGCATTCAGCAGTGCGTCTACGGGAGGCGGAGGTTTTCAGGTGCCTCCTACTCGCCTTTTACCCAGGGTGCATCATGTGGGATTTCCTGGGATTTACCCACCACAGGTAGTCCCCCCACACTAGCCAGCCTTGGGAAGTCTCCTACCTTACTACCTGCCTGCCTGCCTGCCTGCTCTCCGTAGTCTCCCTTCCCACTTTAACCTCCTGGATCTTTCCTCCCTGGTCGCTCTGCGGGTTGCGGATCTCAGCCTGTCCTCCCGGACATCCTGGAGTTTGCCCCATATCTCCCATTGGTACCTCCATGCCTTTTGGGCATCTTCCCTACTCCAAAATTCTGCCCTTCCCTGGCCAGTGTATCTTCCTCTAGGTCCTTTGAAGATCTGCACATAGGCCACTTGCCCTACCTTCTCTTCTATACTCCTTCTTAAAGTCCTCCACGTTATTTGTTGAGGGATACCACTCAGGTATAATTGTGGTCTCTGTCCAGGCCCTAATCTCCTCCTAGCAGCGTGTTCCTCCCTCCTCTCCTCATAAGTCTGGGTTTTATTTTCCCTTTTGGGTTGCCTCCTTCCCTTGTTCTCCGCACCCATTGTCCTTTCACTTTGTAGTCGACCCGAGTCTGCCTGTACACAGCCCTTATCCCTTGGACCTATGGTCCTCATTTCTAGAGAGGCCTTTTTTCCTTCCTGTGCAGTTCCTCTGTCAACTAAGCTCACCACCTTGGGCTGTTCCCTTCGGGGTGCTCCTCTATCACTCTTGCCTTGCAACCGTGTTATCCTTTCTAACTGTTGTTCTAAGCAGCTTATACCTTGTGCGTGTAGCTCCTGCCATTGTGTCCACCTCCGTTCCCAGTATGCTAGGAGAGCTGATTGGCGTTCTTGGTATAAGGCCCCCTGTTTCTGCTCTATGAGGCTCTCCTTCTGTGCGCCCTTCTCTGGCTGTCCGGGCTCCGTCTCCTCCCCGGAGCTCTCTAGACCTTTAATATTGGGAGGTTCCTCCACCTTGGGACCTTGTATCAGAGTACACTGGAGGTCCTCGACTTGCCTCTCAGTTTGTTTCAAAACCTCTACAAGCAACCCCCTTTCCAGGAGTTTCAATTAGATGGCTTCTACATATCCCACTAATTGCCTTTCGAAAGCCTCTAACTTTCGCCTCAGAGTGTCTGTACTTTCCAGGGTTTGTGATCCCTGTTCTGTCGTGTTCTTCACTTTTTCTCGCTGGCCCTCTTTGAACTGTCTGAGTTCTAAGGCCGCTTGACTACTCATCTCAAGAAGCTCTTGCCTGGTCTCCTCCAGCCTCTGCAGCTCTTCCTTCAGGGTTCGTAGTTCTTGCTGCCACTGTTCCTGCTCTACACGGAGGCTTGTCGCCTTAAGCTGGCTCTCGGCTAAGAGGGTCCTGAGTACCTTAGTCTGTTCCTCACTACGGTCTTTATCTATCTTCAGACCCTGTATTTGAGTTTTTAGTTCCTCGTTCTCTTTCTTGCAGGCTGCCATTTCCCTTTCTAGGGCGTTATGGGGCATCTCCTGGTTTTCCATAAGAGCTTTTAGCTTTTCCAGCTGTCGGAGTTCCCTGGTCACTTGGCTACTTGTCCTGGGAAATCTCTGCTTGTCATACTCTATCCTCTGCAGCTCCTCCCTTAGGGTTTGCACTTCCTGTTGCAACTGCCCCTGTTCTGCAGTGAGGCTCATTTCTTTACTCTGGCTCTCGGCCAGGAGTGCCCTAAGTGTCTGAGCCTGCTCCTCCACGCGGACCTGTCCTGCCTCCAGAGCTTGTATTTGGCTTCTTAGCCCCTTGTTTTCTTCCCTACAGTCTGCTAACTCCTTTTCTTTATTTACTATAAAGGATTTTACCTTGTCCATTTCCCTCTCCCAAATCTGAGTATTTTGCTCAGTTTGAGTACGGCTTTCACTTAGCTCTGTTTGTACCTTATCGAGTAGACACTCGGCTCCTAGGCATCTCTCTTGCCATTCTTCAAGGTTCTCATTAAGTCCCTGTATCTGTTCCACTTGGAGGTTAACTTCCTTTTGCAGGATGGCTAACACACCCCTGGCTACCTCTAGCTTCTGTTGCAGCCTTAGCTGTTCTCCGCCAGGGCTATGCCAGGCTCAGGGGACTGCGTCCTCCAGGCCTCCAACTCCGCCTGCATATTCCAGAGCCTTTCCTCCCTGTTCTGGCTCTTCTTAGCCTCCTGAGCCATCGCCCTCTCTAACTTTCTAGTCTTTTCAGCCTTGGCTGCTATGAGGCGTCTAATTTCCTTCACTTACCCCTCCTTTTTACCCGGTGACAAGTGCTGCTCGAGGGCAGCTGCTTTCACCTCAGCACTTTCCCTTTGTACTTTAGCAAGTTCTAGCTCCTGTTCCAGCTGACCTACTTGCTCTTCTAGTTCTCCCATCCTCAGTTGCCATGCCAGCTCATCTGGTCCCTGGCCTTCCATAACCCCTTCCTGGGCCATATCTACTCGAGCCTTACCCTTTCGGCTCCAGGCCTCAGTCTTGTTATGGAGTTCCAAGCAATGGGTACTCTATCCAGCTCTCACCCTGGAGCTGAGTTAGACCTATTTGTCAATATATATCCACATCTGATCTTGCCCTAGCCTTCCGGGTTCATTCCTTTTGCAGGGACATGGGTTCTATCCCCGTGCACGGCCGGCTTCCCGGCCAATGCACCAGTTGTCAAAGGGGGGGCCCATGCGGATCCCTTTCCTCCATTCCAAAGCTTCCGCCCCTCTTGGTAGGGGGCCGTCCCCAGGGTACTCCCCTCAACAATGCTCGTCTGTAGGCTGGTTGCCTCCGGACCGCCTGCCATGACTTTGATGACCTCTTGGTTCAGTGAGAATAATCCGGAGTGTGTCAGTCCACAGATGAGACTTCTATATCCCAGGGGTCCCACGCTGTCGAGGGCTCCTCCACCCCTACACCCTCGCCCGTACCTCCATGCGGTTAATCAGCCGCCTGCTCAGCCCCCTTTTCGAGATAGTATGTCCGGGGTCCATAAATCAAAGGAAAAAAAAAGAACAACTTAACGTTAACAGCCAGGGATTCCCTGGAGGCCGGAGGTTGCCAGGACCTTTCCCGGGCTTCCCTGGTCCTTCCCTGTCCGCTGTGGGGCAACCACCCTTCCTCGGGCTCCAATTGCAATACTGGATTTGTTCCTGGGCTTGCAAAGTCCACTGGTCCCTCTCTGTTGCAGCGGCAGCACCTTCCTCGCTGTGAGTGCCCCTCTATTCATGGAAATACGGCTCGCTGGCTCTTGCCGAGCCGAGCCGAGCCGAGCCGAG